CCTAAAGAATCAAATCTCTTATTTCTCCACCTATCTCATCACATACAGATTGAATATTGCTGTGTCCCTGCAGAGCAGCAAACGATTGATGGTAAGGTCAACTTTAAAAAACAGCTAGTTTAACAGTACCAAACAATACCAAACGGTACGTAAAGCCTTATTTACAGTGCTTTGGCAAAAGCCAGGACACTGCACGAGCTGCTGAACTAACAATTTATTTTGGCACAGAACATTTAGCAGAACTTGCACACGTAACATAAAGCACGCCCGTGAAGATCTGCACCAATACAACCAGCTACAGACTAAACAAGGGTGCTCACAGAAATGTAAGCTATTCCAAGTGCTTTTTGCTAGACAATGAAAGCCTTGCTGAACATCCACTTCTTTTCTGGACTATTTTCAGTGCTTGTTTTCATTCTTCTCTTGAGAAAAGAGCACCTGCTTGGAGCACTTTGGATCTTTAAGTACACATTTTCCACACCTGCTGTAAAAGCAATATAGACCACCCAGAAATAAGTGTCATTTCTGTCATTTGCCCATTGCTAGCAATTGCATTTACCAATCAATGAACGGTGCAAAGAATGGAGAGAAATTTAAAACATTGAAGACAAAAGCATTCTCCTAAAGAGTTCACTTTCCCAGTAGAGGAAATAGACACCAGTGAATCTCTCCTCCAATTTTTTTTGGTTAAAAATAGGCTGAGAAGCTGTTCTTCAGCTAACCCCAGTGACCCAAGCTGGTACTACGAGCAAAGCCAGCATTCCCACACGGTCTGAGCCCAGATGCTCATTCTGGCCCCACGCTCCTCTCTCATGCTGCCAGAGCCACCCACAGACCGCACAAACAGCCGCACTGCAGAAGCAATGTCACTGAGAAATAAATACCGCGCTTTGAAGTCACTCCGGGAGAGTGAGCTGTCCCTTCTGAGCTGCTGCGTACCTGGCATGAGTTACAAACTGGCACAAAAAGAACAAATGTTCCAAGACTAATTCTGGTGGCCAAAGAACCACAAAGTGCTTAAACTGCAGCTAAGAGCAAGTACTGCAAATATTCACAAGCCATTGCTGTGGCTGAAGAGAGATTCACTCAAGGTACCTACCTAGTCAGGAGAATGGCCACCATGGTCACTTAGGGAAAGGAGGGGTGAAGAAATAACTTCAGGAGCTTAACAGAGCTGGACACTAAGGTTTATACCAAGAACACATCCACAAAACATAGCACATACTCATTCATTTCAATTCCTAGATCACTAAACACTGGTGAGCTTAGCTAATTGGCTCCTGCCCTAGAAATTAAGATGAAAAAAAGGAAGGGTGGCATGGAAAGGTTAACATAATGCCCATATCATTCCACTGAGCAACATACTAAGAAATTAAAGAACAAAACCTTTACTTCTGGTTTCGTCATAAAACAATTGTAGAGTGCATATGGAGCTTTAAAAAGTTTACTCTAAAGCTACAGCTATGTTTAGTTTCTCCAGTTATATAGAGTATTTGATAGTAGTTGCTGTGATACTCTCTGCTTTGACAGACATGCTTGATTTGGGTTATTAACTGCAGGTATCAACAGAAAACAGAATATAATTTGCAGTTCCTACGGTTCTTCCTACTATGCCTTTTAATCAGCATCATCTTTGTATTTTTCCCCCTCTATCTACATCCATTGCTCGTCTACTGCTCCCATCTTTCTTTGATCAAATGCCTGTTCCCAGTGCTCCACGTAAGGCCAAACAAAACAAAGCAAAACAGAACAAAATATTAAAAAACATTATAAAAGGAAAATACAGAGGTCCTCAAACTGCAAAGGAGGCAAAAAATATGAAAACTGAAGAAACACAGAACAACAAAAAATATTTATAGAGCAACATGACAACTAGTTAACACATGTAAGAGATTTTAAAAATTCTTAAGACAATTATTTCACATATCTGTATTGCAACAGCACAACATAAAAGACCTTAGGACCTTCTGTGCTGAATATCACATGAATACCAAGCTGGCGTCCGTGTCAAAGATATTTGGACATTACTGCTTTTCAGCTTCATTCTCACTTCCCTTTTCCTTGTTTGTTACAAGCAGTTGTTCTGTGCTATCTTGTGCCCCATGACCTCTCATTTAGCATCAGAAAGCAACTTTCACCTCCATCTGACGTCCATTAACCTCCACTTTTCTAGCAAGCTGGTTTTCGTGTTTTCTACAAGTGCACCTAATATGCCTAGGAGCTCCCTGTCACAAATGGCTGCAAAATTCAGGTATTAAATTCCAGCCCCTCAGTACATGCAATATATACAAAACATAGACTTCAGTAGCATGAAAAAATAATGCAGTACCCTTACCAGACCCTTTGAGCTAACCTGAAAGCCACCTAACAAAAAGGACTCTTTTGGTCAAAGAGAGTCATCTCTGAGATTGTTCAGCAATCTGCAGGTATGCAAGAACATACTGCAGTAGCACAAAAAAAAGTCTCCCAGATTAGGGAGGTTTGGGGTGAATTTAAGCAGGCTGCACCAAATAGAGCACACAGATTGTAACAATGCTGATAGGCTTCCCCATATATTTCACTGACAAGCCAGGTTTTCACTTTTGAGCCAGGTTTACGAAAAACAAAGGGCACTACCAAACTCCAACTAAATATCTCTAAATTATCTGTAACTCCAGCTAAATAGCTCTAAATTATCTGTGGGCATTTATAAGGATTGCAGGCTGTACTGGAGCCACATGCACAGACACTTCAGTTGCTTTTGGTAATGTTTTATTATTTTGAACAGTATCATAAATTATGGTTGTAGCCATGCTTACACGGCTAGGCCTTGAGATGTTTTTGCTGCAGTAATGAGTTTAAACTAATCAACTCTATTACTAACATGCTAAATCTACACAAGTAAGGTCTTCCTAAACTGTGGTCCTATTACCATATGCTAAGCAAAGAAGAAATAGGAGCAACTGTACATGGAGCGAGACAGGTGAAACAACAGCCAGTGAGAAGGAATTGATCAGCCCTACAAGACACAAGGTGGCTTTTGCAGACCTACATGGCTGTCTCTGCATTATATTTCCCAATTTATTTCAGGAGTACTCATTACTTTGGAAACAGGAGAGAACAGAACCCTAACAGGTTCACACTGCATCCAGGCAAAGTCTGCTCAGATCTGAAAACAGCATCCAGACACATCCAGTGAGGGCCCATACGTCACCTCCCGCGCATCACCAGCTAAGCTAGATGTGGCCTTGGCTGCACACACAGTCATCTCCTGCATCCATATTACCTTACATCATGAAGAAAATGGACATATTAGCTCATTATGCAGTAACAGCTCTCTAAAGTGACACTGAAAAACAAAAAAGGTCACTAGGCTCATGCAAGGACAAAACAGCATATATTATCATTAAATAGAAAAAAAAACATTCTGTTTTTTCAAACTAATATGTGCAGCTCACAAATGACTATTTAAAGTACAAGCCTTGAAAGGTTTATTCAAAGACCATTTCTACTCCATAATTCCATCAGAAGACTTTTGTAGGATTGCCCTGCAGGACTTGAACAGCTAAAGCAAAATGAAGAGCTCCAAGGGTAAAGTGTCAGACAAGTTATGTAAAATTAGTCTCTCCCCCATACAGACAAGCACACCAGTTTATCATTAAAAACAACACAACTAACTTTCAAACAAAGCAGACAAATACATTTCTAGAAGACAAATGTGCCTCACGAGGCAAATCAAAATAAGAACCTCTATTTAACTGGCAATAGCCAGAAAAAAAAAATTAAGAATACCACAAAAGTATTCCTAAAATTGACAGCACATTACTTGAAACAATAAACTCCTATCATCTCATTTTAAAAGCACAGTGCGATAAAAGTAGTTACAGGCATAACATTTTCACAGCAAAGATTCTCTCTTTTGGGAACAGAACCAACAACAAGCTGTCACATGTACCGCTATGAGGCAGCAGTAGCACTGAGAGATAAACCTTTCAAAATATCCCTATACAACACAAAAACAACAAAAAAAGTTTGCTTATTTTTGAAGCACCAAAGACTTACAGAACACACACACGCGCAGAAAAAGAAACAGCAGCAAGTCAAAGAAAAGGTACTAAACTTTAACCAAGGAGGCAGTCTGGAATAGTTCTCAAGATTTATTTGCACAGCTGGATGTTGGCATCTACAACATGATTGTACAGCACACCTAGGACAATGGACAATTCTGACTGGAACTTTTAAATACTGCCACAGTAAACACTACAGCACATGAGAAAGAAGCATTGCTTACATAAGTCCTATATGAGCAATATAACCAACGTCTGTATTAAACCAAACAAAACAAAAAAAAATGTAAAAGCAACTAAGGTGGTCTAGAAAAGATTTCATAACCACAGCCGGATATTCCTAAGGCAGCTCTTTGCCTCAGTGAAGTTAAACACAACTATCACCTACACTTTTAAGAGTCATAATTCAAATTCATAGCTCTGGGAAGTAGCAGCTGTACTTGCTCATCAACCCATGTTCTTTCCATAAGGTCATTAATTCACAGGCACCTATCAGAACATCTAACATTCCCTTTTTTCCTATTATTGTCCACTAGCATGTAGTTCTAACTTTCCTTTTTAAAATGAATACGGCATCCAGAAAGAGACAGAACTGAAGAGGAAAGCTGGCCTTTTGCATGCTACAATTATTTATTTAAAAGAAATTATCAAATGCCTGTAAAACCATATAGTCAAAAAGACAAATTGTTGGAGGCACGAGGAGGCTCAAACTGCCTATCAGTCATTAAAATCCTGACTTCTCTGACAAAACAGAAAAAGAGATGATGCTGTTGTGGTATTTTCAATGTGTACGCTGATTTGTAGATAACCAATACCACATTCAATTAATTTAAAGCTCCCAAATACCAGAATGCAACATGTTGTGAATAATGAATTAATCTGCATTAAAAATAGTAAGATGGGAAGAAAAGTTCGACAGGTTAAGTTATAATTAATAATGCATACAGTACTTACCCATCTCTTCCCTTACTGACAATTTTAACTTCAAAATAGTATATTCCACAGGCTGCAGGTATAGGGTGTGTAGCTCGAACAGAAGCAGCATCTTTTGGAGTTTTCCCATGACCTGAAGAATTATATTCAAAACACAATGTGTTTTAGTGACACAACAGTATAAATGCCAACAACTCAAAACAAAAGCCTTAAGTTGTGAGCAACCAGCATACAATACTCTCACCAGACTTGCATGTTTCCAATGTTAAATTTCTATTCTAGACATTAGCACTGTCACTTGTCCAAGCATGGTACAGGAATTTCTGTGAATGTTGTTCTAACAGGTTCTGTTATTATTTGAAGGAAAATGTCATAGTAATGAGTCACAATTCACAAGCTAAGTTTAGGGGAAAAAAAGTATAGTTTCTCAGACACACAGATTTTAACTCATTTTTACAGACTGACACATTACATAACTAAGTTTTATCTAATGCTCACTGTTTCTAAATCTTCAAATTAAAGGTACTTCAGTACCAGTGTCCTCCAATGTAAGCATCAGTCACTATACAGAATGCACTACATGCACAGATTGGGTGCATAACTCATTTCCATGTTCTGAGCGTTATTCCAGGGCAGTATGAAGAACACAGCCTGCACGTGAGTTAATGCAGCTCCTCGTTTCTCTCATAAGGCCCATTACTCATCAGCTCTGTTACAGCAGTGATGTCCAGCCTCAGCTCTTGTCTACACTAGCAACATTCAACCTGAACCCAAAGACCACTTACAAAACTCCACTAAAACAAATGTACCCACATGCATCGTTCTCACCCCAGCCCTTGGTCCAAAGACAACTCTGAAGCAGGCTGCTGTGCTGCTCAGATGACTTGTTTGGCAGCCACCTGCCCAAGCAGGCCCATTCTTCTCTGGGCATACCAGGATCCCTCAACTGTTGGGAAAAGCACCCACTGAGTCACAGGACATGAGAAAAAAGACCAGGGGGAAAGCGCATTGCACCATGGCAGGAGGTATTTCAGTAAGACAGAGACCAGGAATGGGCTGTTGTTACTGTAAGAATGATTTGCATGGACCACATGCCCACTTTTAGTGTGGAGCACAGGCCTGCCTAGAAGAAAAGCCTTTTTGAAGCGTACAACTGATCTGTGCATGCACAGAAAAAACATTCCTTCCTGGAAATGCTGGAATTATTTCTCATATACACATTAACTATCTCACACATGCAACAATTCCAGGCATACAAAAAGAATAGATGGGCTAGTCAGCCAGAAAGATTAGACACAGCTGACCTACACCTCTACCACAACAGTGATACACAAAGCTGCCGAGTGCAAATGTTTCTACAATGGAAGTTTCTCTACCTACAGAGCCAGCATCACTGTCTCTTACCAAACAACCTCTCCTTTTCATTGCGGCCACATCTGTATCCAAACCTTTACTAGCACAGGATAAATCCTTCATTCACTGAGATTAGATTTAATCTACTTCTGACATAACTAGTTTGCCTCAACTAGTGTTACCATCTCGAGAGAGCTACGCAACTTAATTTTAGACAAACTTTAGACAAACCTTAATTCTCTGGGTACAAATATACTGCTCAGTTCAATAAGTTATCAATAAACATTTATTTCCTATAAAGACGCTTTGATCATCTCAAAGGTTTTACTATACTAAGCTTATTACCTGCCTTCTGCACATTTCACCTTCTGCACTGGTTTCAAAAGACTCAGATGAGAAAAAAAAACACAGTAATTCATTCCTCCATATAAAGGACAAAATGCGTGTTTTATTGTTCACCATTGCTAAGTTACCTCCTCAGGCTGAGTCAGTCAAGGTAAGAGCCAAGCAGACCTTCCTTAAGTTTTCAAGTGCTGGTTGCTCACGTTTCTTAGGTATGTGGAAATCCTACAGCTAATAAAACACTCAAAACTTTACGGGTATAGGACACTGAACTTCAGAAAGATCTCTTTAAACAACTCAAAACTTTAGGTTAAAAACAGAAGGATGAAAAAATATTTTTAAAGTAATAATCTAAGGACATTCAAAACAGACCTACAAGAAGTTCCCCTGCTTACCGTATGCACTTGAAAATCTGCATAGTTTCACTTCGAGACAGTTTCCTTATTTGGCCAAGTCTTCCCCACAGAAGACCAAACCACCAGGAACCAGCCCTATGTTACTGAAAATGCACAGCTCCAGCAAGGCAACCTTGCCTTGTGAAATTACCATCTAGGTGGCCAGCAGCCACACCAATTTAAGGTATTCTTAGCACATCTTCCTCTTCCTGAAACTATTCCCCTTGCTCTGCTTTGCCAAAATCCAGACAGCTACTTCCAAGGACATACCATGAACCAGATTGATTAACTGTTCTGGCTTTAAGAAACCTACCAGATTCTTTTAAGCAGCAGATCAGTTCCCTGATCCAGTTGACAGCCCAGCCACACACAGCTGTCACGGTGCAAATAAGAGGTTGACATGGGGACAGAAGAAACAGGATACCTCACCAGGGTTGCCAAACACTTCATGTGGTGAAGCAACGTGCTGGGGGAAGTCACTGCCCAAAGCTACTTTCATCCCATTAAACCAGAAGAAACGCTAAATTTAGTCTGCTGTCCCTTTAATGCATTCTCCTATGAATCACATTTTACTGTTAGCGTGTGCAGCTTATTTGGTTGCAGATATTCTGGTTGAAGGCAAATTCAATGGCATCAAGAAGTTTTCTTCCAAATATTCAAAATACCTCTGAAATGTTCTAACACACTTCAGTATTACCAAGCTGTGTTAGAGCGCAGAAGTTACCAAAAGAAGATGGTCATTAACTGGCTTGAAAATAAGAGGAAGGTCCCTGGCTGAGCCGGTAGCTGAGCTGCAAAATTCCTTATGGAAGGATATAACGGTCCTTATTTATATTATGGTATTTTAAGTCCACAAGGGGCAAGTTTCTAGAGCCAACGTTAACCAAGAAACTGCACTCAATTCTGGATGTTTTTCTGCTTAAAATGGCTGGAAGCTGAAAGGGAAATATAGATCTCTAAGGTTGCCACATTTATTTTTTTTTCTCCTTTGACGCTCACTTATGGCCTCAGCCACTGATCAGGTACTGAGTAGGGTGGCCTTTTAGTTTGACATTATATGCCATGTCCTTTGGTAACCTGAATCCTCTCTTCGCTTTTGATTAAAAGAGACCTCGGGCATCCCACTGACGCTCTAAGCTGGAGGATCCAAATGCCCAAAGCAAATTATGTGGACCCTGCCCTCCCTACGGTACCTAAACCAAAGATCTCTTATAGTTATTAGTTATAGTTAAAGAATTAAAGAGTTTTTTAAAGCAAGTATTATTTAATACTCTATTTTTAGCACCGAGACCCCAGCAGACATATGTCGATGCATTAGAGAAGTGCAGCATCAAGTCTACCATACTGCATGGAAGAAAAGCTGTTTTCTTTTGAAGAAGCTCATCGTTCACACTGATTATTTTTACTAGAGAGAGCATAATCAGACCTTCAGCAAAATTACTTTGAGAATAAACTAAATTCCATCTCCTGGAAAATGCTACTTCAGAGAAAAACACGTCTTTGGAGAAGCCATTTGAGCTTTCAAGATTCTGATCTTTGAACCTAAGTCCAAGCACATTACGAATATGCACTGAACAGCCCAACAGAATTTGGGAGTGTCCACCTGAACAAAGGTGAACGTGTTTGCACAGTTTAAATCCTTAAATGAAGTTTACCTAAGCTGAACTGCAGTTACTTCCAACAGGTGGTTCAATCATTTGCTAACATTGGTAGAAACAACATAATCAAAACCCAATCTTCTGCTGGAATCATAAGGAAAGCTCACACTGAGAAAAAGAGTAAGACTGTGTACATCTGATTTCACCTCAGCTTAACAAAGCTGAGGCTTCTCCCTATCTTAACAAAGCAGGACATCTCCGAGCTACAAAGGTGTCCAGAACAGAGGGACGGTGCCGTATCTTACACCGAGTACTCCCTGTACTTCAAGTGTGCTTTTCTGTCAGAAGAATCGACACTGGCCTTACATCACTGCATGACATTACAGAATTGGTATTACAGAATTCTTTTGTTACAGGAATTGGCTTACATTGAAAAAAATAAAAATAAAGCAGTTTTCCTTCTATTTTATTTTTATTTATTAAGTTTGGCATTAAAACAGTTCCAAGGCAACTGTATTGTAAATGTAAATGTTTGGCTAAGATTGCTTGACTTGTAATACATTAGAAATATTTGAGCAATGGCAGCTTACTCAAAATTGCATAACTTTTATCAATCTTCTTGGACATTTGTCAAAAGACTGACTTAAGTGAAATTAGTATAGGACTTTCCATGATTTTATCACCAGAGACTTAGTCTGTTTACACAGTTCTCTCTGTGATTTCTCTCACGGCTAAATCCTGTGTTAAGTCTGTGTTATCTCTTTATACAACATAGCATTCTACCTGCTGAAAATCTAACTTTTTATCTGCTGGAAAATTCACATTCCATATATCATTTATGAATCCATTGTTCTTCCACAAGATTTGGCCATTAATTCTGAATGTCCAAAAAGGACACTTAAACTACCGAAGATAAATGTCTTTAAAGACGTCTTTTAAGATATCTTACCTTAATATTTACACATTCTGTGTGGTAAATGCTTTATATAAAAGTACACTGGTCAGAACTTCATGCTTTTTCCACTGCATACCTTCAATTTAGAGTGATTAATAATCTTAAGTGAAATGACACAAAATTTGTTTCTTATGCTGTTTTTCATTTCTGCATTACATAAATACATCAAACTGGCAGCAATACAGAAATGCATATTCATCCATCTTTAATAGAAGTACTTTTTGGTCTGATATTTCCTGCATGAAAGAATCACCTATGCCACTGCACGTGTACTGCAATAGCCAGATTTTGACACAGCTCCATACTCAAGAGTAGGCATTTGTAGAAGCGTGGCGAAAGCAGTGTAACAATCACAGAAACTGTGCTCGTGCTGGTAGACAACGTACCAGCCTAGGCACCCTCCGCTCACCTCAGCCACCTCAGCACGTGTTTTTCTTTTCTTTTATAAGCAACGTTATGATTTCAATGGTTAATAACAGAATAACATGACCCTACTGTTTTGTTCATCTCCCTAACATGTAAAGGCCTGTTGTCCTGACATGAACTGCATACTCTTCTCTATATCTTGACCTTTAAATCAGTCTGGTTTTGTGGCAGTTTGGATTTTTAACCACTCTGAGACGCCTGCAAAAAGCTTCAGGTCCAGAAATGCAGCAGATAGCATCACAGCTGCAGCGAGCAGGAGACATTTTATGCAGCTCACATCTCCACATACATTGTTCACTAGTACATACAAAGGAAAACAAAGGACTCTTCAAAGTTGTAGAGATGACCATTCTTTCCCTTGCACATCAATGAAAGTATGATTGCTGGCAATAAGTCAGCATATTAATGTTATTAAGTGATACCAAGAAAATTACTTTTAAAGTTTTTTTTCCCCTCCTTCCCCCTGTTCTCCAAATCTTTTCAAAGGCAAGCTTCCCCAACATGTTCCAAGCGGGGAAAAACACTCTCATGTTACCAGAAAAAGTGCTTCCTGTTAGTCACAGATAAGAAGAAAATACTCCAGAAAGAGAGTTTTCCAGTGAGAAAGTGACCGAGGCAACAAAGCCTGAATAAGGGTACAAGTACCTCTCTATACTAAGGTAACAGAGAATACAGGGAAATTGATTATAGGCTTTGGATAAACGTGTCTTTTCCCCCATCCCTATTTTGGTCCAGAATACAACAGGACTTTATCCGAGCCCAAGGTTCAATTCAAATTCCCTTCCTAAAGAAAGTCTTTTGCTCTTTCACCACTGCTTCAGAAGTGCAGGAAGTGCCCGTGTCCCACAGGCCAGTATTCCCCACTTTTTCCTTCAAGGCCTCTTCTTGCAACCAACTTGCAGACAGTACATTTTACATTACTTCATGCCATCTTCTCCATTCCCCTCATTCAACCTCTTAATTCCCTTCCTCGTTTCCTTATTCTTGGGCTGAAGGATCTTGGGGGGAGGGGAGGCAGCAGATGTTTTGGTGCCTTCTCCTCAGGTCTCACAGATAGGGATGCCCTGGTATCACTCACTGCTTAGAGCAGTTAGCAACTCCCGTGCCAGGTTGGTATCTGGACTGCTCTGAGAGCCACCTTCTGTAAATTGCCAGAGAGAAAAGATGGGTCATCTACAGAAGCCACTTGCTCCATTTGCAGTTAGAATTAAGTGTATACATATGATATTGTCTCCTTTCCTTTTCACACCACGCTGGACTAATCTAGGAACTGTTCTACCTCCACCTCACACTACTACTTAACCACTAAGTAAAGGTATTTGATTATTATGACCTACCACCTGTGCTTTATGACTTCTGGTTGAATATCCAGAATGTTACATATGTTTCAGGAACACATGGAACCTATTGCAATTCCTTTTAATTTAAGCACTTCGACCAAAAAAAAAAAAAAAAAGAGACGGGAAAGAAAGAAATGGTGCCCAAAAAGCTTGAAAAATGTATTTCTACAATTACACTGACAGACCAGAGTGGATCCATGTCTAAGGCCTAGTGTATGAGCAATAAAATTAAGGAGAGAAAAACAAATGAGCAGAAGGGCTTGGTGGCCATAGAGCTATGTTTGTGCTATGAAAAACACTGCAGCCACTAAGCACCAGAAAACACAAATCCTTCTAAAAATACAAGGTCGTGAAACACTGAACAAAAGCCAGGAAATTCAAAGTTGAGTATTAAATAACATGTCCTTAAATCACTCAGGGCCTCCCTCAAACCAGCCCTACAGCTAGTCACCAACGTCCAAATGTCTTAGCTTTGTACGGTGCATTAAACTTTGCATTTTTAACGGAGTATTTTGTAAGTAACAGTAAAGCCTCTCTGATAAAAAAAAAAAAAAAAAAAAAAGTCTCCAAGAGTACATTTAATCCTTTCATGGCAGCCAAATCCTAGCATGTGTTTGTGTTGCCATTTTCCTCCTATGATTACACAGTGCCGTGTTTATCGAGATTTCACTTGAATTTCACTGCCATAAACTCCGAGAAGGGCTAATTGCAGGGCTGCTTTCCCCTCCTCCTCCCGTGGCGCTCCCTCGGCTCCAGGCTCACAAAAGATCCAGGTCTTCACGGCCAACTCGGAAGGGGTTTCACGCTCGCCGCTCCAGGACTGGGGCCTACAGCACCAGATGTGCCTGTGTTTTTCCAGGTCAGAGTGTACGCGCGCACGCTTCCAGGTTTTATGGCATTTCATAACAATCAACACTTAAGTTTCTCCGCCGCCACGGCCCGCCGGGTGGTGCAGACGCATATTTCCATTTTTGTTTATTTATTTTTCTTCGAAAACCCCTAACCCTAACTCCGGAGCGGCCCCATTGCCGCTGCCCCCCCGGGTGGCTCTGCAGCCCCCACAAAGCCAGGCAGGGCCCGCGGCCCGCGACTCTAATTCCATTTTTCACACGCAGTTTAAAAATAAACCCTGTTTTTCTCTGTGCTTTCCCCTCCCCGTCATTTCCGCGTTTAATAGCTTAGCGCTTGCTGCTCTTCACTCCGGTTAACCCCTTGCTGCTCTCGAGAGGACGAGGAGGAAAAAAAAAGGGGGGGGAATTAAAAAAAATAGGAAGAAAAGCATGTTTTCTCGCTTATTACCATAGGTAGGACACGTCACCGCTGCTCTCCTTTATCCTCCCGGTTATTCCCAATCCTTGCGGCGGTCCCCGAGCCCCCGGCGAGTTTTACATAAGGCCCCTCCGGAGGGCGAGGGAGGCGGCCCGCGGCTCCCCCCCACCCCCCGCGATGGAAAAAGGGGGGAAAGGACAGGGAAAAAAATACAGAAAAGGGAAAGAAAAGAAAAAGAAAGAAAAGGCAAGAGCCTCCTCCATATTGTGCAGTGCTCGGGGTGCAGAGAGCACACAAATGAAGGATGGGGGGGGTGTCTCCGGGTATGGTCGCCCCGGCCCTCACCTTTGTAGTGCACGCGCAGGTTGTTCTGCGAGAGGCCGATGTAGCTGAATTTGTCCTTGGGGCTCCAGGAGCGCGGCAGCGGCGTCTCCTGCTCGTCCACGGCCGGGTAGAGCCGCTTGAGCCGCCGCTTGAGCTCCTTCTCCTGCTCGTTGAGGGCCGCGTCGCCG